TCTAATTATTGATTGAATGTGTCAGTTTTTTGCTCATTACAGCGATGTTACGTTTTACATTCTCTCTATACTTCATAAGAGGAAAAACTATTGCAATATTGTGCGCCGGAAATCGGCGATTTTTCGTCAAAAAAAAAACTTTTTGCTAGGATTCCGGCCATCGAAAAAGTAGGTAAATATTGTCCCTATTTGTAGTAAATTACTTTATTTATCACGTGTAGTGAGAGTTAATGTTTTGTAGATCCTTGGTACAAAAATAAATTTTGATTCCTAGGGGGTAGTTTACATGAGTGCCCCTCGGTGGCTCGTTGGTTGCCGTGCCCGTTTTCTATGGCGCAACTCCGGGTTCGATTCCTGGCCGGGGTAAAATAATAACTGCGTGCGTTCCTTATAATTGACCCAGTATCTAGTGCGTGTGACAATGAGAAAGCCCACCCTAAGGTAAAGAAGACCAGAATATACGGTGAAGAAATGACTTAGTGCTAACCACACGAACTGCATATCCCATGACTAAGAGGCTGATTCACTGCTGGTCGGCCAAGGCTCGTAGCGCACTGTCGAACCATAAGACAGGACTTTACATGAAGCCTAAAGAACATTTTCACACTTTTTTCAAAAAGGGGAACATTTTTATTAAACTTTGTCCTCTCATAGAGTAAATAACTCGTTAAAAAGTGGCACATTCCGCGCCATTTTTCGACGTCTTCGATCAAATATAACAATTTTCGAAAATTGCACAAGTTCAGAATTAGAGGCTGCTGGTGCTCCAACAGACTGAAGGTTGCACCACCATCGCATGTTGGAAATGTAGTTTCCAAAATTTAAAATACGAAAATATAATAAAAATATAAGCAATACAAATTATTTAAAACTAAGTTAAATAAAATCTATATTGATTCATAACTTACGTAATTTTACGCGCCGTGACCTAGAGAGGTATATTGTACACCTCCCGCTCCCGTGGTGCTGGCTTTGATTTCCACTGGACACGACTCCACCACATCGCAACAAGCAATATTACTTCCACGCGTTTTACACAAATTAAATTATTTTATTTCGAAAATATCACTACCCTGGTATGTTTTGTAACAATGATCTTTTCACACACACGCTCATATTTCACCAGTGCTCTCCGTGTTGTAACTGCAGCCTGCTGCATCTACCAAGAAAGGGACTTCCTTGCAAATCGGCCAACTTTGCACATAAAATTTATCAAGTGTACATTTTAAATCAGTAAATCTAATATCAATTGAAAAAAAGTTCTCTAAAAATAATAAAAAATGCATTAAATGCCGTCAATAAATGACTAAACTTTTATACTTTCAATAACAAGCGAAATTCATAAAATTACATTGCAGCGAGTCAGAAGATAGAATTTTGGTATTCCCGTGAGACTCCCTCCGTCGCCGCGCAGAGCTAAACAGCGCCACCCGTCTGTTTGCCCAACCAAAAGGCCCTATGTTTCCCGTGTTAAATCGAAGGGCGAAAAAGTAAATGCAGAACACCCAGTAATACAGCCAAGATCCAAGAGCGTGGTGCAATACCTGGCAAGGCACCAGGCACCGGAGAGAGAGCAGCAGTTGTACGATCTTTGGTTTCAAAAGGATTTCATATATATCAGTATTGCTGCAATATCTTGAATATTGAATTTCATTAAAAGGAAAATGTATATTCCTAAGATATTAGATATTTTTCAATTATATCGGGGGGATGAGCAACCGTGCACCCTAAGCACGAGCCGCCAATGTTCAAATTTTTTTTCTGCGTCTTGCTGCTAGAACAATATTGGAGATAAAGTTTTTTCCTGAATGAAGTGTTTTCAAAGACAGAACGCTTAAAAAAGGCGCAGTTATAATTTTCGTTCAAGTCTCTGAATTTTAGAAAATTGCAAAGATTAGAAATAATGCGAGAAAGTATGTGCTGATGTAGCATCACTAATCCATTTAACATCAGAATCAAAACGAACGGACCAGGGATTAGAACGATATTGTAGTCTACATTAAGTTATCGATCGTCAATGATGTGTCAAGATAAGCCCGACCATAACATTTAGTAGCATCCTGCTCTTTTACAGACACTAAGGTCATAATTCAGAATCAAAAGAGAAAAATCCGCGTCCGAAAGCGGAAAAATTTTGAATATTCGTGCGTTACTAATGAGCTACGACCTCTTAGAAATATATTCGAGATGTTTGTCGTTATAGAGAATGTAGGTGTTTATTTCTGAATTCAGTAGATGAATTTGCTTTAAAAATATTTTAATGGTGTATAAACAACATTTGTAATGAGTTAATTCACTCAAATCTGTTAAATAATAAAGATTTCAACAGCGTGAATCATTCAACGAACAACTGTCAATCAATCCTACAGTCTGACAATCTTGAAACTACTTTATACTCTTGTGTTTTTCAGGAAAAAATATTAAAATTATGTAAAATACTAATAATTTATAAGCTTGTCTATCAAATGTAAATTACTGTTAAAATACTTGTTTAAATTGTGTGTTCACTATTTAATTTAAATCCTGTATTGATTACAGTATATTATGTATAGTTGCAGTCGCTAATAACCTTGTCGTTAATGCGATTTTAAATAAAATAAATTTAATAAAATCATTTCTTTATCAGATATAATATTTAAATGATAAAATACGATAGATTTGTTACTTGGTTTTTATGCATTTACAAGACGGTATATCAGTTATATAAAGTTTTAGCATACTCTTTGTGGTATATTGGTTTTAGGACTCTTTATTGACTTTTTTTACGTTACAAAAGTTTGATCGCTGATTATGGTATAATCATTCAAAATTTGGAATCGAAATAATCATAGTATTCAAAGAAATCTTAGGTTAAATTATTTTTATTTGTCAGTATACTCGTAAAGTGCTGCGAATTACAGTTGTAGTTTAATAATGCTTTAAGTTTTGATTTTAGAGTAGATGCATAAGAAATGGAAATTTGTCCTAGCTGCCAAAATAATAAAATTTGGGACTCTTTGCGGTTCGTTTCGTAAGTCATTTCCCAATTGGTGTCTGAAGGGTTAGAAGAACAGAAATTGAAATCTTATTTATAACCGTACCAATAATACGAGAAAGTATATGCTACAGAAGCACTTTAAGTTTTTAATGCAATGTGGTCTTCAAATTTATATATGTAAGAAATGTCATATGTATTAAAAATATGAATGGTTTTCGCGTAATTCGCATGCGTGCACATTATTCGAGACTTACAGCAGCTTGGTGGGCCCTGGAAGGCGTTTGTGGCGCGTCAGTCCCAAGGAGTGATTCTCCCCCGCTGCGCTAAAGCGGTTTGAGAGATCCATTACGCATTAACCACCTGCCGATAGTTGGTTTCAGAGCTGGAATGTGATATGCGAAGCCAACCTACACGCTCGCGTGTTTTCCCCTTCCAATACCTCCTCCAGCGGGGTACAGCTCCAGCCGTAACAAGCTCTAAGGTCCTGACAGTATGTAATGTACGAATGTTTTAAGTGTAGGTGTAAGCGAGGAGAGAGGTTAAGACCGATCAGCGCTGTTGGCCACTAAGATTCTCCTTCAGAGTGGCTAAATTCGAGAGTTAATCGGAAATTTCCAAAGCACCATTGGTATTACATATGAAAACATCACATTACATTACACAACAAAACAACAAATATCACATAAAACTAGTATTAATACAAAAAAAAAAAAATATTGTGAAAACGCTTTTTCATAAATTCCCTCTTTCTCCTTTGTTCGCTTTCCTCAGATGGGGAACCTTTCCTTCCCCTAAAAGTGAATTATTTTTCAATGACCTTTAAAATAACCCATTAGAATGGTCACAGGAAGCAAGGATGACCGCTCATTTCGTTAACTAGGTATTCCTCCTTGCATTTCCCTCCTTCAGTAAGTTATTGCAGTAGTGACAACCTTCGAAAAGTATTGTTTTGTGCCTCATTCCCCTGATCGTTGTATCACAGTATGTTAATACTCTTCCTGTATTGCGATTATATTCTCTTTGGTCGTACATTGCCACAGTACATTGTTGTGAGATATTACTCTAAATCCGTCCATATTTTATGAATACATCAGCCAGTGGCCAATGTTGAATGGTTAACTCCCATACAATGCAAGCATATGTTACATGTAGAGTTCCCTTCACTTCGCATTATCATCCTATCACCTTATACTGATACTTCTTCATGTCACATAGTTTATACTATTTTTGACGACAAATAAATCAAATGAAATAAAAAAATCCTCTTTTGCCAATTGTCTAAAGTTAAGACCCAAACCAAAATAAATAATAACAGTTTTAAAATTATTTTTTATTAATGTAATATTTAAGGTTAATAACTGTAACTTAAATGTCTAGCTATTTTTTTAACATCTATTTAAAAGTTGAAAACAATACTTCTGACACCAGTATATTTTTAATAATAACAACAGAAACAATAATAATAATAGTAATAATAATAATAATAATAATAATAATAATAATAATAATAATAATAATAATACCAACAACAACAACAACGGGCTGGTCCCTGAGGCACAGGCAATTGCGACAGCCGTCTGCGCTGAGGGGTCTGCAGGTTCGAATCCTGCGTTGCCATGGACGTACTTGTGATTGTCCCTTCACCCATCATTATTATCCTATCATATCATTTTTCATAATTCAAAAATAACAACTTTGTCTGATGCAGCCGAAAAGAGAATTTCTCATAGCGAGTGAAGACACATTGATCTCTCCCGGATAAATACTCGTATGACTGGGCCTCGGAGAATAACGTGGTGCGTGGACCGGGATGGCCAATATTTGCATTAAAAAATAATAAATAAAGAATTTTGGTGACTCATGTATGAGCTTACAATTCGAACCCATCCAACTTTTCTGTTAAAATTTAATTAAATGATTATAAATTGCATACAGATAGCAAATTGCATTAGATAATTTCAAACAGTACCTATATGGTATTCTTTATAATTTAGAACACTTAAATGTACTCATGCAAACTTACGGGTGACAATGTCCAACGCTGACTGTTACAATTCCTCCGAACATGTCTAAATATCTTTTTCCGTTGTGATCAAATAACCATTGCATTTTCCCTTCATGAATCAGCAAGGGTATTTTATAGTAAGGAGTAACACTGGGAAAGAGCTTCTTTTTCAAAGTTCCCCGAATCATTTCGAAACTTGGGCCCTAAAAGTTAGAGTGACGTTACGCCGGAACCTGAATCACGAGTTTATTTGTATTTTTATTCATTTAATTTACCTTATATTTTTGAGATTTAAAAGAACATTTTGGAATACTAGGGCGTGACTGCGAAGACAGCTGGCGGATCACATTCTTTCCGGAAAGTCCTGAAATGAAAATTGAACAGAAGTGCAATTTTGCCCCCTATATTTATGAAGGTTAAGTGTATTCATTACGTAATCTCTCATCAATGTTTTAATGAAATGATGCGTGACAGGCGAGATTTTTATAAATCGTAAAAATCATATTCTTTAAAATAAATTCACACTCTACAATAGAAAAAATGTGATAGCTTTGAGGGAATCCAAAGTAGTTTGAAGATAGATCTCGTTTTCTTTCAGTACATAGTGAATATGCATTTACTTGTAGTCTTACCTGCTATCAATTCACGAAAAAAATGAAACATTTTTTCTGGAGTATTTGCTTGAATTACCAATAATCTTATGACCAGTAATGAAATTTAAAGCGCGGTTAATATTTACTGAATAGAGCTATAAAAATGAGAGTTCAATACGACGAAGCCGATAATACACGGACATGTAACGTTGTCTCTCGTCACCGGATGATAAGAACTGATGAATATGAATGAAAGAGTCAAGTAGTTTCATAATTTAGTAACAAATGTTTTTATACATCAACATGTTTATGCCTATTGAGAAAATATTTAAAAACAATATTCGTTCATTAATAGCTATGAACGACTGGGAGAACGAAGTAAAAAACACAATGAATCAGTCTTTCATATGAATCGCAGAAAATCACGTAAACAAAACTTTGAAATGATAAACATGAAACTTGAAAAAAAGAAGACTATGTAATAATTCTTCAAACTGTTCTTTAAATAAAATTTTATACATTTTGCATCAACAATTGTAATTTATTTGAATACTTGAGAGTAGTAGGTACTTGCCCCTTATAAGAATATATTCTTGTATTTTTAAAGGTGTTTTTTAATTTTCTCTTTTAAATAAAAGAAAATATTGTACTTTTATTTTCAATAAGACGCCGTGGAATTATGCGATATCCGTGAGTTAATTCGGAACAATTTGCGTAATTCTAATATGAACATTAAATTTAGCGCTGATTTTGACTTCAGTGCGATAGGTCAAGTCTTCGAGATGTGAACAATATACTGCCGTCGGCCGTCAAATAAACAAAGATTATAGACATCAAGTGCTGCTGTACTGAGGCCGATCGGGTCGTGCATCTTCTGAACTTCGTATTATGGCGGAAGGCAATGAAGATGAAAATCCATATTCTTTTCGAAGTTATAACCGCAAGAAAGAACCGAAAAGTAATGAAAGCTCTGATGTAGAAGAATGTAGCAATGCCATACCTGACTTGGGAATTGGTAATCAACATGACAGTGAGAAAAGAGTTACCAGTAACAGTTCTTGTAGAGGTAAAATATTATGTAAATGGCTAAGGTTATTTGTAAATGATATGTAAAGAAAATAATCTATTACAAGAATTCATTGAAAGCTACCCCTAGTTAACAATAAATTAAAGATTTTGTTTCAACATGGCTCATGCTTTCCTAATTATTGCTTTTGGTTTTTTAGGAAGTGACATGCCAAAGAGAGAAGAAAATCCCTTTTCTTTCAAGCATTTCCTGAAAAGAGATTCGGGAAGTAATTATCAGAGTACTGGAGCCAGACCAAAAATATATAACAGTGTTCAGTTAGAAAATGTTGACCATCCTGAATTAGATGTGGAATTAGAGACTGGTTTGTATGGAAGAAGTGGAACATCTCGTCATGTGGGAACTCCTGAACTGACATCTGTATTGCCAGACTTTGTTCAAGACCATTTGGTAGTTGAACAATGCTACTTGAATCATCCTGACAATTCCAATTCACCTCAATTGACAGTTGACTTGGAAAATTTACCCGATTTTGCCATAAACAATATACCACCTGCCCAGGAAACATCAAGCCCTAGCAAGTCATCAAGTACACTAAGGCATTGGGATGAACTAAAGAGTGCAGATAATGAAAACCTATCGAAAGACATTCCTTTTGATTTGACAGGTACCACAAGAAATCAGCACTTTCCAGGAAGAGTGAGGAAGAATTCAGGGCCAGTTCCTTTGGATTTGCCAAGTGTTACAACTGATCAAAGTGCTCCACCTGGAAGACAAAATGGTGCTTTACCATTCGATCTTCCTTTAGTTCGAGATGTTGATGTTTCACAGGCCCCTGCTTCAGCATCTGGTTCCAGAAGTGGTCCACCCCTTGGTGAAGTAGGAGTATCAAAAAGCTTACCAGATTTCCTTTCTGATGGTCCCATTCACAGTGGGCGTCGTAATGATGAATCTGTAGATCCTTTGTCTACATGTAGTAGTAATGTAAGCAGGTCTCCATCGACAGATGATTTTCAAAGGGTATGCTTCCTCTTAATTTGGATATCTATAAAACTTTTTTTTTTCCTACACTTTTGTGCATTTTATAGGAATTGTGTATTGTATGTGTGTTTCTTTGTAGTTACAAGTAGAAAATGAGAGATTTAGAAGAGAGTTGGATATTTCAAGAAGACAGTTATCAGAGCAAGCACGGAGGTAAGAAATAGGTGATTACTTAATAATTATTTATATTGCGAAGTAGAAAATTTACTTTTTCATCTTTTTTAGAATACAGTTTCTAGAAAAGGAAGTGTGTACTATGCAATCAAAGGAACATGAAGAAACTGCAAGTCTCGAGAAGGCTATTGAACAAGTTGAAGATAACCTTAAAAGAAGCACTGTATGTTTTAATTATTTTTGCTTTTTTAATTAATAATGTGTAACAATTCACATTATTACAAAATACACAAAAAAAACAACAACAACAAAAACAAGCTTATGTACTCCAATTTTTCAGAGGCGGGCTGTATTAGCTGAAAACCAAGTTTCTAAGTTAAAACAGGAAACAAAAATATTGCTTGTTAGTACCTGTTTATCCTTGATCATATGTATTTATTTTATTCCTATTCAGTTATTTGAATTTTTTCCCCAAAATGTTTTGATTTTGTTTGTAGAATGAATTAACTCAACTTCGAAGAGAAAATCATGAGTTGCGAACTGGGCAAGGATTATCCATTGGAGTGGAACCAAGCCATGAACAACTTACAAAAAAATTATCTCAAGATCTAAGGAGTGCAGCAGGCACAGCAGAAGTGTCTCTGAGGTTGGTATTTTCTATGATGGTAGCCCATTAATGTTCCACTGATTAAAAATCTTTTACTCTGGCACGATGTAAAATTCTTTCTTTAACTTTTAAGTGAGATCACATGTTAACTAGATTCATATATGTGATTTTCATTTACATCTTAATTTTGTAGGTTGATTACATTTCAAACTTGGACTTGGTTTTTCCTCAACCCTATGTTCGTAGATGCAGTACACACAATTTGATATTTATAAACATTTAATACTATAATGCATATTAAAATTCTGCTCTAGTAGAGAACCTCATACTTAAGAAAACGTGCACAGAATACACTTCTCTTCATAATAGGTCACACGCAGTTTTTAAGTGTTTTTGATGTAAAATAAATAAAATAAATAAGTCAAACTTTTAGTTAGTTGTTGTAATATCATCTTTGTTGCTGTGCTCTTATAGAGAATGGTTTACCCCTCAAGGAAAGTGTGTGATGGGGAAAGGATATTGGGAGGAGAAAGATAGGAGGGAGTTGGGAGGCTCCTGATGTACTTGCCATAAAATTTTGGGAAACCCTTGTATATAAATTAATATAATGTGCATATTTTACGATTGTGTCTTTGAGAATTTTCCAATAAACTACTTTCCTCCATTTCTAAACCTCCAATAAACCACACATGTGAATAGCTAGTTTTCAATTATTTAAATCAAATTAATAAAAAAATTACTGATTTCAATAATTTTATTTATAAATTGTTAGAATAAATATTTGTTTTGTTGGGTTAATTTGAAAGTACTAAGAATTATGAAACCTGTTCAGAAATGTAGGTGACAAGTATGTTGATAACATATTATGCACAATGATTATAATTTAAAAAAAAAGACTACATTTGAAGATCAATACAATAAAGATAAAATTTTATATATTATTCTTAAGAGTTCAGATGTTTGTATAAAAGCAAGATGTTCAGTTCCCAAACAAGGGTTTCCTCAAGGTGAATCCACTACCTTAGGGTCAGACTGATGTAACTATACACACAAAATGTTTGAGTTTGGACAAATATGACACCTTTTACGTTCTTTTCACTCTAATATGATGTATTATTTTGTAAGTATGTAAAGCCCAGACTTCTATATTATAGCAAACTTGTTTGCTAATAAGGTGCAGAAGAAAGTTCTGATTCTGGTAATGGTTGTAAACAACAATTGCAAAAATTGTAGTTACATCAGTCTGAATCTTAAGGTAGCAAATCATGGTCCTCCGGGTGAAGGGAGAGATTCCTTTGCCACACCTCCTGCCATAGCCTGCTAGTATTATACGTATACATGTATCGCACTTATGTTTTCTACATTCTAAGTGTAAGTCATCATTCTTTAGTTTAGTTTTTGAAATTACTTTCTCTGTGACTCCAGTTATGTGAAAACCAGTTGCAAAAGCACTTAACAATAGGATATTTACAGCCAAAATGTTAATCCTAATGAAATGTTAAGATGTAGTCCAGAGATTCTCAAAACTAATTTAATGTGTCAAAATTACAAGTTAGTAAAATATGAAGATTAGTTTTTGTATTTAGTTACTTAATGAATAAATTCAATAACTGTCCCATTTTCACTCTCCCAAAGGTTACTATCCAGTACATCTTTTAAAAATAATTGTACAAATAAGATTGTTCTTAAAGTATAGTAATAAAATGAGACCACTTACGTAGAGTAATATACTGTTATGATTAAAACTTACCAAGCAAATGGGCCTGTAACTATACATTTTTGTTAAGATAAATCTTTAATATACACAAATGATACATATTTTAATATTAATTGGCCCCCCTCCCCCCAAATCCACCAGTGACCAAGAGGTTCTAGGGTTCAAGATCCAATGGCGTCAATATTTCTGACTCAAGCTAGATTGCTAGGTTGAATCAGCTGCTGTTTGAAGGGAAATTGTAGCGACTGGCTGCTTGGACCTGATTATGTTGTTTCTCTGATCAACACTATAAAATCTCATTTCAGTGTTACTCGGATGAAAATCGAAGGTTGGTTTTCTGCTCGTTATATTTTGTTCTGTTCTATCGACAATATTATCGTTCTGTAAAGCCAAATAGTATTTATTTAAAACAATAATTGGGTCAATATTTTCACTTATGGGAGAATTTATGACATTTGAAAATCACAAATTGAATTTTATTTTTTACTTTTAAGAATAATAAAGTATTGTAGCTCATACAGTACAATAAGATGTGTCTTTTCCACATTACCTGATGTCCCATTTTTGATTCGATAGAAATACCTGTATTTGATCATTTGTATTTAGAGTAAATTGTAATCCCCAACTATGGTTTATGAAAACATGAAATATTGAATGTTAAAAAACATTGCAAACTGTATAAAGAAATCTATGATCTTCATGAAGTTGGAGTTTCATGATTTCAAATATTTCTTCCTTTTTCCTACTGTTAGTCATGTGCAAATTGCAGGGTCTACAAGTTGGTCTCAGTGTCATGTGGGGATTTTGATGGAGTGGATTATAACAGGATGTACTTCCCCATAGCGCCCCAGTCCAGATTAAGGAGAGGGGAGATTGATGATGAGGAAAGCTTGAACTTTGTGCATGGCTCATTGTTTAGGTAGCTGCTTCAGCATTTGCCTGGAAGTGATTAAAGAAACAACTGATCAGAGCAGTCAGTCCATTAGATACGGAAAGGCTAAACAAACTCTTTATCAGAACATCAAGTAAATTTTGCACACCTTGCCAGGATCGAATGTGTGACCACCGGACTGGCATGCTTGAGACTTTTGAGGCTGTCTTTATGCTTGACATTACCAGTATTGGTATTATTTAAATATTTGATATGGAAACCTCTATTCCTCTGAAAGTTCTCAATTAACTGATTAGGTAATACAGAAGTCAAACAATTAGGAAGGGTTGTAAAGTAGATAATTTTAAATATGACTTTTCATTCAAGAGTTAAAATCTTACAACTGAGTTACTTGATATTTTCCAAGGGCAAAACATTAATTCTGATAATTTATGACAGAAATTTATGACAAGAAAATATTGTATTTAGCATGGATTATACAATACCTTACAGTGATATTTTCAAACCAGATTTGCAAGAACTTTTGAATCAAGCATAACCAATGAAATATTTATACTTTCAGGCAATTGTTAACAGGAGTAGAAAATTTACGTGTAATTGCTGCTACAATGGAAAGCATGCACAGAATACATGATAGAACCAGTGATTTCTTGGCAGATCATGACGATGATGCTGAAGATGCCTCTGCTTCAGGTGGGGCTGGGCCAGCTTTGTGAATAAGACTTATTACCAGGATGTACGTGAGTGACAAATGAGTTGTTTGAGAGAGTGTGAATTTAGAATGTATGAAGTTTTTGTAACTTAATGACATTTTGTCTCTTGATTTTGGATTTAGATAACCCAGTTATTTTATTGAAAATTCATTCAATACATTGTTAATGTCCTCTGTACCATGTGTATCTCTTCCAGAGAGTGTAACATGATTTAATATGTTTCTTATTACTTATTCAGTCATGTGTGTTGTAGATTATGTTAGGGTATAGAGTATTAAAGACAATCTGTGATAACCATAAATGAACTGTATCATATTGCACATGTTCAAAAAATTGGTGCTTATTGCACTGCAATTAAATATGATATCCATTTACTGCGGGTTGTATGTAATGGAATGTTTTTATTTTCTTTAATGATTTTAATTTCTGAGAAGACAGACTATTAAATAGATTGTTCAGAAATTAAATTTTCCTACTGTATTTTTGTAAACTATATGTTTGTGTTGCACAATCCTAATTAAATTTTAAGGTGAGAAAAATGAGATTAACTTATGTATGGTTCATTATAACGACATCAAAAGCTGTTTATTTACTCTCACGTTTATATTTGTTGTCAGGAGGAAATATGTTATTTAATTTACATGAAAGAGAGGAGAATGGCTTATGCGACTACCATTAAGGTTTGTTTGAATGTACAAATCGTGATATTCCTTTTGGGATTACTGTACTTTCTCTTGCTGTTTTAATTGTGTTACGAATGTGCATTTTTTGTTAAACATTTTTAGGCTGCTTTCCATGAAATATTTACACAGAATATTTCTTGTAATATTTTGAAAAACAAATGGGTATAGTTATCTCTTGTAAATTAACTTAAACTCCAATCCTGATATGTCATTAACGTCACAATTTTTGATTACCAAAGATTACAGCCTGTACTTCATAGTATTCAGGAACCAAACATTTATATAGATGATGAATGGCCAAGTGCTCAAATGTATAAATGCAGAGTGCATTTGAGTGTGTATGGATCTTGGGATATATACCAATATTTGGACTTGTATATTCACACAATAGACCCATAATAAGTATGTTACATGTCGGTTTCTGTTTTATTTGTTACAAATGTGTGGTAGTTATTTCTGATATTGTTTTCTTTGAATATGGTAGCTGTCCAAATCTCAATTTTATCATTATACTCTCAAGCTTGTGTGAAAACTTGTATCACCAATCACAGCTAAATTGTGCATTTATTTAAATGTCTGTGAATAACTTTGAAGTGCACTGCTGAGGTTGTATATGTATTATTACAAAATTGACAACAATCTCCTATGTGTAGCTCACAAGTCAAGTTTCCTAAGTCAATCTGTTAAATTATATTTCAGAAATCATAGTTTTTAAACAACAAACTGTTGTGTTGCTAATTATTCGTGGATGTGTTTCCCCTACACATTCTCACACTGAAATACTTGCAACATATAAGGATGAATATCCTTGAATGTTATTAAGATTTCCTCGTATCTAATGATACTTCTTTTTTCTGCATCATGTAGGATTTATAAGAAATACTATACAAGATCATTGATTTATAACTTCATTTTTCTACTGAAGGTTTGACTTAGAAAATGTGACATACAATATGTATTATATGGTGCCTACAATTCATGTAGTAGATTTAAGTTTACTTTGTAAGCATGCTGCTAATATTATAGACTTGTGAAACTGTAGTTTTTTTGGCTTGTTCCAATAGCAAATATATGATATTTTTTGTGACTTCCAGTGTTTTGCAACATTTTAGCCCAATACCTTTATATATTCTTTGCATGTAAAGGACATCAAAATAATTAGAAACAATATGGTATTAATCTATCATTTTTGACTAACATGGTAGTGTTTAATATTACTACTGTCATACTTAATCGTATCAGATACCTTAGGGAGCTAAGGTCTTCTGCTGAAGCTATTATAGTGGTATGAAGCACTGTTAAAAAAACTATTAACAAAGTTTCTTATGACAAAATTCAATATCTATATTGTGGCAAACATTTTTCTTCTCAAGTATTCTTCATTATTTCGTATTAAATAACACCCAAATATTCAGTCTGTCCAAACATGGACTACTGTTATGAACTCTGGAGATATCAGTTACAGGTCTTGGACATTACCGATCATTGGCATTTTATGTACCTGTTTTGAATTAAAGATGTTTCAGAACTTGATATCTAATAAAGCCATTTCTCTTCAGTACTTAGAAAATTCAATTTTGTTTTAATGTTGGGTGCACAATAAGTCATTGTGGGATTGTTCTGAAAAATGTTTATTTTTTCAAGACTTCTGAGGTTGAGATTTGATCTTGACAATGGAGGGTACCATAGAAAAAAGGTTTTCATTGCTTATTATAAATTTTATTTGCCATTAAATTACTTGGAAAATATTTAAAGAACAGCTATTTTTTTCACAATTACAAGATAGGTAACAAAATTATATACACTAACACCACAGAATACTTCCATGCAATACCATGTCAGTACTCGTCATATTGTGGGGATCAGTTTTAAATTAAATGAAGACTTTTATGAACTTGTACTTATAATTTGAAATGCCAGAATACATTCAATACTTGGGTCTCCTTGTTCAATTTAGATTTTGTTAACTTTATTTTATGTTAACTTATATGTATACATGACAGCGAAGCATATCTAGGTAAAATGACATTCACGGCAAACTAAATGTGCCCTTAAAAAAAAAAAGACACAATTTTAATTTACAATTCAAATCATAATTGCTCAACCCTGATTATATGGCTGAAATATATTGAATCCATTGAATTTAATACTGTAATCTAAATTGTATAGTAATTTGCTTGCCATATCTATGGAATTTGTATTTAATTGTTTGAATCACATTTAATATGTGTTTAGCCGCAGGGTTTTCTTGGACAGCAAAGCATAGTTGAATAAAAAACATTTTGTAATATTCTAAAAATTTTGTTTTTTATAAATTATCCAAATAACCGTGACCAAATATATGTAATATATACGATTGTGATACAACAGCCAATATTCTGTTTTTAATGTTGGTAATTGAACGTTTCAAATAATTACAATTTATTACTGTTAATAAAATAAAAGGAATCAGGGATTTAGAATTACATAATTCAATATTTGTCTGCATACTCTTTCTTTTAATAAACACCAATTAAACTGGTTCTTTATGACCCTACTGTACAATCAAAACAAAAAGATCTCTTAAAAAATAGCTGCATTCCATCTTTTCCAAAGTGTTTATTTCTATTATTAAATATTACCATCCAGCTTTCTCACCATAAATGTAGAATGCTGGATGCCTGTGGAATGTGCCATGCCTGCCACATCCTAGATAAGCCACTGCTTGGCAGTGGTAAAAAATAAGTCTTTTCTTTACACTTACATAATTAAGCAGTCTCAAAAACAAGAATGGAATAGTTATTTCAAATTTTAAAACCTACATCAAACTACAATTTTTTTTTTCTTTAGCAAGTCAACATCTAGTTAGATGTGTTAAAAAAAGGAAATACAGTGTTTGCTCCTATTTTGCTGGTCAACTATAAGTAGACTGATAGCAAAAAGAAACCACCTTACAAATATTTTTTAAGAAGAAAAAAAGATTCAGGATTTGAAATAACATTTATCTAATAAAACATATAATATACTTTTAAAACTTCATCTAGATCAGGAGAATATACTTTGAGATGCTTTAATGAATGACAAATCAGTTTTATTATAGACTATAAGCACATTTTCCACTATAGTGTAATAATTATAGCTTTTCAAACTGCATGCTAACAGCAACAAATATATTCCCAATTTGATTAGATTAAGGTAATGTTGAATTGAAATTCACAAGTCATAACAAAAAGTTTTGAAGATCTTGGTGCAAGAATTTAACTCAACATTTTGTTACTTCAGGTAGTGGTTTAAAAAAAATTTATCTGGCAATTTTCTATCAGTTGTGTTGCCATTTAGGATGAAAATCACTATTTTGTGAAGAATTTGAATTAGAAAAAGGTGCTAATTCAATTTTTTTTTCTTTTTCTAAGTGTGTGCAAGGTGTTATCTCAGTCTGTAGGCACAGTCTAAACTCCATGCACTAATAATTAAGAGAGCTAATAAATGAAGTTAATTCAAGCATGAAAAATATAATTGTGAATTGTATAATTTTTTAATGAATGGTAATTTTATTAGATGTTATTAATTACTATTTAGTAGAACAGTTAAAAGTATTCATTAAAAAGCAATAAATGCTTCTAGATTACCTTCCATCAGAAGAAACCAACCCTAAAATACTATTTCTCAGAGTAGAGTTAAAATCTTCTATGTCAAATCAGTGGTGCACCAGGGGGAAGGGTTGGGGGTGGGGAGCTCATGGGGCATCAGCTCACCTCACCAGAAGTGACTGAGATTAACTATAAGTTAACAAAAATACATTTATATTCAGCATAAATGAAAAATTCTTTATAAGAAAACATCAGATTGGCTGGACCCCTATACTTACAACCCTCACAAAAAAAATCCTAGGTACACCTCTGAAAAAATCACATATTACGGATCAATAGAAAGCTCTGGGCACATTCGCAATACCTCCATGGTGCTTTTCTGAGCAAACAACCTTGCACTAAGCTCTTCAATATACATGTTATGATGAACAAGGTTTATTACAACGAGCATTGAAAATCTTAAAGATATCATAGAAATGGCCTTATTCAAAAGAATAATCTTCATACAACATTTCTTAAGTACTTTTTGATGCTATAATGAAGTTTCTCAGCCAAATGCCACATAACAAGAACAAAGTTAACAGAAATAACAATAGATTGTATAAAACGAAACATTTTACAGTACATATCCAGTCAGCAAATACTCTTTCACAAGCAACAATGCAAAGCATTTATTGCTTTTTTTTCTTCAATTTTTTAGATAACTATACCTGAAATATCCTATAAACTCTAAAATTTAACAATGCATTACCTTTACATCTCAACTTCACATACAGCATCATGTGATAACAAAATACTTTACCAACAAACACTTCAGAACAATAAATATTGTAGAATATTAACAAAATAATTGAGATATTATGACAGACATAATTTTATAACTTCTTTTGTGACAATTATAAACATAAAAAAACAAAGATCAGGAAAGTCCTTTCTACAAAGAGACTAACATTACTTGCAAGTTGTGACATAATAGCAGTTAAATAATAACTATTGATTAAATTGACAGGAATTCTCATGTACTACACCTATATTGGTAAGTTTTTAAGAATGAATATTATTTATACAACATTCACAATACATCAGAAGGCAACTATTTTGCTTTGTGAAGAAAATTAAAATTCAAAGACTAGATTTTAAAACAATAATAAGTTCACATGAACACAAATGTAAGCTATGTTTCTCAGTTGCATATTTACATATGCAAGATAATAGAGAATACATACTTAGCAAATACTTTCTTAAAAAATAAGATACATAGAACATTAAATCACTGATAATTTTGAAACATGGCACATGTAATGAATGACACTATGACACTGTTTTTTCTAATGAACTGTGTATGACTAGGACAAATGTGAAGAACATTTTAAATCTTCTTTCACACCTTTACTTCAATATAAAAATCTCAAAAATCAGTGTATTTTTTAATACTTGCAGTGGGAAGAATTTCAAACACACAACAATTCAGGGCTCTAAGCCTTACCCTGTTTCACTAAAATATTTAAAAGATTGGCAGTAAGTCTCATAAAAGATTATCATTTGTGTCTTCTTTGACTAGTTCAGCAATAATTTTTTGAAAGTCATTAACATTAGTTTGAGTTTCCATATGACTAGTGCCCGCCAAAGCATCTTTATTTGTTATTAACCATTCTTTGTCAGGGTGTTGACTTTCTGCAGGTACTGACAGAGATGTCTGTGTTTCAGTAGAGACTAATGATGAATCATCAGTATATTGAGGCCAAGCAGTCTGAGTTTCAATGTCTGCAAATCCTAATTCAGAAAGCAATATTTCATCACAAGTTTGAGTACACATGTTTGAATACAGTAACTGATCAAGAGAAGAAAATTCTTCTGTGGTTTGTGTCTCTATATTAGAACACAATGTAAAAGATGTATCATTATCACAGTCTGGAAGAAAACAATTTACATCAATCTCTGTTTGAGTTTCAGTACTACATGACCTGTTAGCATCAAAGACTTTGTTTCCATTGCCTAAGAGATTTCCTAGCTGTGCTGATGAATAGTCTGGTCCCTCTGCAAGTGATGTCAAATTATCTATTGTAGTATTGGTTAGCTCTTGTCCAAATGATGTTGAGATAACATGTGGATTAAAATTACTATCTGTACTATCTTCAAAATAATTCTGGAGATTTGTGACTCTGTGAGAATTATGTTGTGGAACATGAGACTCACAAGTTTCTGAGTCAAACAATGTTAAATTTAAATCAGTTTGGGTCACTGTATGATTCAACATTTCATCATTCCCAAATAAGGAGCTCAAAGCTACTGGGCTTGTCTGAGTTCCCAAAGAATTTTTTTGATTGAACCATAAATCTGGTAGTTCATCTGCATCTAAATGATACATATTAGTGTTATTATTTAAATGAGAATATGAAGTAGATGGAAAATTACTTAATGAAGACATATTTATATTAGATTCTAGTGTAGAAGAAAATTTAGCACCAATATTAATGACTTCACGGTTTTCACATACTGAAAGGTTTATGTTGCTAGTAGTTTGAGTTTCCATACTTTTTCTTCTCTTTCTGTTTCTTCCAGTTATACTATCATTAGTAACACCAACTTCTTCTGTTGGCATTATCAAAATGTCAGCTGCATGCATTGCCTTCTTCAAAATATAATCACCCATAGTTTGAGTCTGAGTACTAATCTTCGGATGTTTTGCACGAGATACCTGGCCAGTCTGAGTATGAGTTGTTCTGCGCTTAAAAGATCTCTCAAATGCTCGGCATGGACTAGGAACTTTTCTATGACGTTTATTATCTCCTTTTGAATCTGTTTGCACTTCTTTATCAAATGATGTTCCAAAACCTGTATTTGAAAGTTCATTTAAAGCTACAGCAGCAAGTAAATGCACTGGTACTGCAATAGCAGAGGATGAAGCAGAATGTACATCTTGCAATGAGCATGTAGACATTTTTGAACAGGGATCATCAGATCCACCTGTAGAAATCACTTCCCTGAAAGCAACACAATGGCAATTACAATAATAAATATAATAAACCATGTTAAATATTTCCTATATTTTGTAGGAAACAGACACTTACTTCCCAAAAGATTTGTACTTTTCATCAAATGTATGCTGGTGTCTTTTCGCATGAGTTATAAGAGCTTCATATGAATCATATGAGTAATTACATGAACAAATAAATTTAACTCCACATAAACGTTCATGTTTTTTTTGAGCAGCTTCTGTAGAGAAACCTTTATGGCACTGATCACAGCAGAAGCTTTTTTCCGCATGCACCTTTAAAAAATGCTGCAAAGAATTCCAGAATTGAAAATGGTTTAAGAGAATCAAAATAAATGTAAAAGGATATAAAATGTAATTACTTCTATTTCATACTTGAAACTACACAACCTTATTTTATTACATGCAAACAATACATTTAAATATTTGAAAATATTGTGTTTAATTCATTTGTACGTTTTATGAACATTAGCAAGATTCACATTGAGCTTATAGCAGGCAACAGTTTGAATTCAGAAAACTTAGATGAGATAGGCAATTCGTGTCTTTCCCAAAACTTGATTTTGTAACTCTGTCACCACTACGTAAATATAATTAAAAAAATATTAATTGTTAAATACAACTGAAATAGATTAATGATTTACTTTAATTTCAATTATTGCTGATCAAATAACAACTATGATACATTGGTTCTTAAGGAATTGTATATCTTAAATATTTAATGAAAACTAGTTTTAAGATAAATTGATTTACCTGGCTGATAGTACAGAGCTACATTAAAATTACTAAGAATGAGCCTGTACTAATGCACTAATTTACTTCTTCACAAAATACAGGTTTTAAAAATCATTTATTTACCCTTTGCAGAATTACGTACTGCATGAATTACTTGCTTTAGGGTTACAGTGTAGGACTCTTCATTAACCTTTTGCCTTCAATTGTTTCCCTACTTCTGTACATGTACACAGGTCCCAGCAGATTATACTGAAGTTTTGGGGAGTGGGAAAAAGATGGTGTGGCAAGCACCATGCTTCAAGGGCATATTTCCTCAATATTTACTGTTAATAATGCCAGAAAATATTGGTACCCATTCTGAAAGGAAGTCGAGTGGACCTCAGGATCATCCTGAATAAGACACGGTCCGGTAAAACTCTGACTTAGCTGGGGGGTTTGAACCTTCAGGTAGCACTGCACTGCCATGACTTTGGATTTAAAACGAGATGACATATACATAATGAAGCAAAAAATGAGTACCTGAGGTGTCTTTTTATTACATAAATAATGAACATGTGGGGTCAGCCCACAAGTTCTGAATGCATGCCATTCTCTGCTGGTGTCTGGTTTCAATCCCAGACGGTTCTAAGTGGAATTTGTAGTTGATCATTCCCTCTCCTATTCTATAATAAACCATCATTCTGCTTAGGATCCTAGATCACGGCAGCATCTATGTGATAACCAAAGAACTAACTGAAAAGTGTCATGACTACTTCAGCAAGTTATCAATGTGTAGGGTCCTGTCCAAACTAGAAAAAGAAAGGAAGTGGTGAGGGCGCAGGGTATCTCTCCCAATATCCTAGATACAAATGACAGAGTGGATGAAATGCCAGGTGGGGTGGGGGTTGCAGCTTTCATTGAATTTGGCCCTTGAAGGGGAAAAACATTTTAGTTTTAGATAATTAACATTTCAACTGACAGAATATATAGAAAAGATTCTTAACATAAAAAAGATGTGGTTCCTTCTGGGTATTTGCAAATAGTGTGTATCAAACTCATATCCATGATTCAGAACATGTGTTTAATCACTTTCTGAAGGTCTTGAAAAGTAAAATCATCACTGATCTATTAGCAATGCCATGCTTCCTTTAAGAAGTTCCTTAAAATAAACAAAATATTGGACTAGAAATTACGAGATTGTTCATCATTTGACATAATTTCAAACAATGTTAAACTGTCATTAACTTAACAATGAAATATTTAACAATAGCAATATTGATTCCTTTAACTTTGTAATTCCACAATGGAAAACTATTTAAAATGAAATAAAAACTAGGGGTGCTACAAGAACACACACTTTCTTGTATTATTTGTAACGGTTATGTCATTAATAGTTGCACCCACAAAAGTGTTTCCAACTCTCAAAAATGTTTGTCTATGCAAATAAGACTGCTTTAAAATAAGTTTGCAATTTTCGAAAATTAAGAGATTTTAATGAAAATTGGACAAGTTCAAATATAGTTAAGAAATAGTTTGAAATTAAAGAAAATCTTATGTACCTAATTTTTAAAAGTCAATAGTTCACTCAAAACTAGGCAAAAACTAGTAGAAAATTACGTGACAATTAAAAATCTAACTTTGAAGAACAGATTTCATTAAGAAAGAAAACCTTTGTTTAAAAGTGGTACTTCTAGAAAGATTTAGAAATAATTAAAAATTTGAGTTTTTTGAAAATAGAGAATTTAATGAAATTTGGACCTGTACCATTTTCCTAAGCGTAATATTGCTCTTGTTAATTATTTCATTGTTAAGTTAATGACAGTTTAACATTGTTTGAAATTATGTCAAATGATGAACAATCTCGTAATTTCTAGTCCAATATTTTGTTTATTTTAAGGAACTTCTTAAAGGAAGCATGGCATTGCTAATAGATCAGTGATGATTTTACTTTTCAAGACCTTCAGAAAGTGATTAAACACATGTTCTGAATCATGGATATGAGTTTGATACACACTATTTGCAAATACCCAGAAGGAACCACATCTTTTTTATGTTAAGAATCTTTTCTATATATTCTGTCAGTTGAAATGTTAACTATCTCAAACTAAACATTTTAAGAAAACAAAATTGGAGCAATATTTGAAAAAATGTTGAATATGTCATACAGGATACATATAAAGTGTCCCTCAAAAAATTAAAATACCCAGTTAAGTTCAAGAGGCTGCAACATTAACCAAATTGATTGAGAAATACCTATTTGAGTGAAAATCCTGTGAATAGTTTAGGCACTAGTGACGAAGTTAAAAAAGGTCAACAAGCGAGTTTTCGTGTCCAACAATAGTGACAGGAAAAAAATGTTGACATACTAATTAAAAATTACAAAAGCAAGAAAAAAGGGATTATATTCTCTGACATCTGGATGCTCAAACGAACAGGGAGACAGACTTCTCCCACAAACCAGTTTTTTGCTGCTAAGGACTCACTACCATGGATTCTAACTGAATAATGTATTAATTTATTACATAAATGGAAGCAAGAATTATCCAATCTTTTCATGTAAGGGACTCATCACAGCAAGTTTTTCTGACTAAAAGTCAAATTTTGTGTGAAGTAATAATCAGTATCTTTTTACATGCAAGATCTTTTTAAACAAATTTAAGCTGATTTTGTTGAACATGTAGATGCACTACCTGGGTCTAAATGGCCAGTGAAATATTTTGCACACATTTTTCAAATCTTTATATGCTAAAAACATCTCTACAAATTTCACGAGCCCAGAACATTTACTTATAGATTTGGAACTAAATGATTTTAAGTGTTAAGTTTCAGAGAGATGTTTAAATATTGATATTTACTTTCCTTCTGCACCAAATGGGTATGTTGAACACCAGAAAATAGTTTGGGAATATATCTGTAAATATTTTATAAAAATTTATTTTACTTCTGTATCATTGACAAAACACAATTCTCACATAATTATCGCAATAGTTAGTAAAGTTCATAGAAAGATGGTTATATTCCAGGAGCCAAAAGCTCATTGGAGTTCATTTTCATGAAGATGTCAGATAGTTATGTTTCCAGAACAGACAAGTGTCTAGTTTACGGAGATGAGGCTATGATGAGAGAAAAATAATTATGTCTTTCTACACAAAAATAAAATCTGGAGTAACCCTGTAGATCAAATGGAATGAATTGATGGGCCAAAAATTAACCTGGATATTTGAACAATATTCCGCACATTACCAGGTTGAATACACATTTCTGATTCGAGGCTGGGACATGAAACTATAATTATTGCAGGAGACTATTGCTTCTCCACAAATAATGCTGTAGATTTCCATCATTCTTTTAAGGTACTCAACCAAACCCTACAGATGTGGAATATGCAGTGCAATTGGAGCAATTTTGAGTAATTGAAAAGCAAAATAACAAAAGAAAAATCTGTTACACATACCTCACTTCACAAAAGCAGAAATTTTTAACTCAAGTAATTTTGGCCAAAAGAACCCACAGAGCATACTAATATGTTTCATATATTCCAACAGTAGATTTAACTACAACATGTGTTTACACGATTTTTGGTCAGATGAATGAAAATACCAGAATGACAAACTTTCAAAAATATTTTAAGAAACTTCCACTAAGTTTTCCTGTAAAACGTTTTATGTCCTAAAAATTAGTCACTTTAAATTATGCACATTGTCTGAGAAATTAGTAAATGAGATAGTTCTACAAAACCCAAAATCAACTAACCATAGTTAAATAGTATTATTTTCTTTTGAAAATATTGCAAATATTACAACAAAGCCTACGAGATCCATGTGATATGCTCTTGTGGGAATAAATAGTCCTACAGCTAAGGATTAAGTGTCTCATTTATAGATTCTATAATACTAATATAATGAATAAATTAAAATTAATGCTTGAAAATAAAGTCACCTGTTTTAAATACTTCATATTTTTAAAAAAGCGTTCAGATTTCACGTTATATGAACATTTATCAATTGGGCAATGATACTGATATTTCACATCGCTATTTATTTTCACTATTTTATTTGACTTTTTGTGATGTTTCAGCAAATGCATATCCAAATTGGATGAATTGAGGAACATTCTGTTGCATCCTTCTTCTGAACATGGAATATTTTTCTTTATTTCTGAAAGTTCTGCTGGTAATGGACATATTTTTTTAATAACTAATTTCTCCATCTTCTCTGCAAAAACAAAAATACAAGAGTTTTATTTTCAACTGCACAATGACGCCGACGTCGAAATATTGAACACAGCGCTTATTGTTTGCATTTAACGTCAAAAAAATACCTGTAGGAATAAACTATAAGAATGACAATCAACTCGTTCTCAAAACACATGAGACTGACAGATCTCTGCACATTTCAGTCAACGTGACCACCAAAAATTCAGTACAACCAACCTGCAACGTTTGTTACACATCAAAAAGTAAATCAGCATTCATGGTCGTAAATCATATAAAACGAATGCGCATTGGAAACAAGCATAGCCGTTTATGAACAAATGCGATATCATTTACGAGCATTATGATTTTCTGGACAATAAACACCACGTCCCAGGGGTTACTGTCACTAAAATATTTTCTCTCGGATCCACGCTGCTTTGCAGCTTATCAACGAGATGTTGCGCTCATAAGGTTTTCGTAACAACACAGGTAGTCAGTTGTTTTCACAAAATACAAGGTAGCCAATCATGCTTTCGTGAATACAAAAAGTGAAATATTAGTTATTGTTTTATCTTAAGGGGATATTGTTATAAATTAAATATTGTATTCCTACTTCGATATTATACGATTACTAAAATAATCCCCGTACAAATTTCCTCATATTACATTGAGCTATTCGTATTTTGTAGTTTGTGTGATGGTAGTAAATGACCTTACAGACAATCAATGTTTCCGTGGAACGACTTTATATTGAATTTCCATCGAAATACGTAGTTGATTATACGAGAAGTACGTATGAATTTTGTTATAAACATAAGAAATTCCTAATTTGAAAGATTGCAGGATTATTATTTTCTTCTAGACCCCAACAAAACGGACAACACATTTTGTTCGCCAATCAATTTCAACTTTCTCAGTCAAGCATACACAAATTTCTCAAGTGACTCAATATTTACGAGATTTTATTATTATTATTATTATTATTATTATTATTATTATTATTATTATTATTATTATTATGATAATGATAATGATGATGATGATTATCATCATCATCATTGTCAGTTTAACTCGGTAAAATAAAATTTTATGTGACCTGTAGGAAAGAAGTACAATGCAAGAGCAAAGAGTACCCAGAAATTGTCTAGGGGGGAGGCAGTTACTTTTTTCGTCCAACAAGACTTTGACAAAGAATCAGATTTATATGTCCTTATTTTTAAGAATTCTGGAATTCCTCCCCTGTTTGATCATGACTTAATGACTTATTGTAATTTTTTTTTAAATGGCGTTAAATAAATAAATAAGATATGTGCGAAATTTACATGAATTTTAAAGCATATATGACAAATGAGTCCAAATTTTGCACAAATTGAGTAAAAATCTGTTTATCTGGGGTAAGACAGTAGTGTAAATTAAAATAAAAAGATTAAATAAAATAATTACATATTCACAGTCGATTTTCAATTATACTTTAAGTTCTGTCAAAATAATAAATTTCCCTATTTTTATTTCTTCCTAAACTCAAATGAAATCATGAAATTTATATAAAATCTCCACTACAAAAACTAACCCGGAGGTGGGGGCATGGCCCCTCCCCAAACCCCGCGGATCCGCCCTTGGTCCTATCTGCTGTTCCCTTAACCGACACACTGATAATATTAACTTAAGTTATTACATCACATTTCATTAAAACAATTAAAACACAGGTCGACAGAATCTTGATGAAACTTTATTTATTTCGTGTTTTCGGGTGCATCATCTGCGATGTTCATTAATCCCGTGAGTGTAGTTCATGTTCTATCACGGGTATGTGGCGGTGTTCACGGGGAGGTGGCTGGATGGTGAGATCCGACGGCGACCGCCGACATGTCTCTCACCTGCGGGGCACCGCCCCAGCTGGGACAAGCCCTGAGCCACGGCCGGCTCTATAGTATAGTCAGTAGTATAGTCAGTAGTATAATTTCTAGTACAGAGACGGCCATACCTCGGCTCCCGACAAGTGTTTAAGGCGTGGGTCTAGGACAAGAGGAAGCAAAGATCGCGCGCGGTCCATGGCGCATTTATTAGGGTACTACTGCAGCATTCGTTTTGTATTAATCGGAGAAACTACGAAAAACTATCTATATAAATGTGCTTCACTCCCTTTTTATAAGAAATTTAAAGAAAAAATTTGGAGCCAGTTTTGAGAAAATTTTTAAATTGTTGCGAGAGTTTTATGTAAAGTAAACCAACAAAATTAATGAATGTTTTTCAAAATTGCAGAGCTTCAACTCAGGCCCGATCGTCAGGGGTTTATTCAGTTTGTTAAAAATCATACACAGACGGATAAAGAGAGGGACGGACGTTTTTTTTTTTTGTTTTTTTTTAAATCTTTTTCGGTATCAGAGGATTTCGAAATCGATTTTTCGCAGCATTTCATAACATTCTCTATACTACGTATATTACTCCGTATATATTTCGTGTATGAGAAAATAACTAGTGGTGCTACAGAATGACACATACCTTCTCGTACGTTAGTTTTCTGATTTCGTTAGTCTGGGCAAACTTACATTCCTGACCCATTCTCTATCCAGCTACCATCTATCGCCGCCCAAAGTACATTTTTTTAAATCTCTATTTTTCGTTTTTTAACGGTAGAACCGAAATATTACTTTAAGAATAATAAATAAGAGTAAAACATCGTCACATAAGGACATTGTTGTTGAAAAATTTGGAGCCTTTTTAAAAAAAAGTCGTTTAAGCGTTACAAAATGCGGAATTTAAAGTAATTTTTCCCAGAAATCTTTTGAGCTTTCAAAAAGCTCCAAACTTTTTATACGGATAGTGCTAAATGCACTGTTTAATATGCCATTAAGTTGATTTGGGGATATTCTTTTGTTTTTCAAAAATTACACAATTGTGATTTTTTGATATATCCCTCTCGCCGTTAATAAGTACATTTCGTGCAATTTATAAACACTATTGCATTTCTGAGTCAAGGTGCTTTAAATGACTTCCAATGAAGTTTTTCGAAAACTGAAAAAGTTTCTGTGAAAAAGAACTTTAAATTTAGCATTTACGGTCATGCTTAGACGTAATTTTCTTTAAAAAGGCTCAAAATGTTTCAATGAAAAGTGCCATTTAGGGCAAATACTGTTCTTTAATATTCTTAACGTAATATTTCGGTTCCATTATTAGGAAATCGAAAAATTGAGAAACGCTGAAAGAGTACTATGTCGCAAATTCGAATGGCTACCCCAGACCAAAGAAAATAGAAAACTAATAATAGAAAGTCTGCGCCATTCTGTAGCACCACTAGTTTCTCAAACATTTGAATTATTGATTTTTCTCCACTTTCTGAATAGTTAATAAAGTTCATATTTTTTTATAAAGTTTACACAAATGTTGAAGATGAATTTATCATATTTGTTTTTTAAAATGTACATATAATTCATTTCTTTAAAGTCGAAATAGAAGAGGGGGTTCATATTATCACCTTCTCCTCTATAAATAAAACTATAAATAATTTCGATGTTGCCCAAAACAGAAGATTGTATTTTAATTAAATTAATTTATTAATATAGATTTTAAAATATGTATTCTAGAGAAATGTATAAACATTTGTGATCACAATAAATAATAAATACTTTCGATATTTTAATGATATATGATTCACTGAGAAAAATCGTTGAATGTACAGTTCGGATCGTTCAAATAACTACGAGGATCGTCACATTTGTGTTCAAATACCTAATTAATAACATTCAGTAATAATCAATTAAATAATTAACAAAATTAAAAACCGTGTATGTAATTGCAGCACAAATAACTTAAAGTAACAATATAAACAAATATTTTCGTGTTTATAATAGCGCGAAAATCCCCCCCCCCATGAAATGTCCGAAATCCCGCCTCTGATGAGAAATGTTGCGATTGTTAAAAAAACAAAACAACAACAACAATTTGTTTGCCTTGCTTAATTAACAAAATTTGAGGATATAATGCACGCTTTCCTTCTAGAGCACTTGAAAGTCTGCAAAATTTAATTGGATCTGCCTTTCCCAAAAGCGCATCGCGTAAGAACGAACTTTTTTATTTTACAAGCCAATAAAAAGTACACATCAGTAGTGTAACGAAATGAGTGCAGGCACGCCCGCAAAACTTTTATCCGGCCCCCTTTATTAAGGTGTATAACAAACAGAAGTAGCATTCTGCATTAGTATATTTAATAATAAAAATATCCTTTAACAAATTCGAATTCATCAGTCTATGATTGATAACCAAAAAGAGGACAAATGTGTCTTTATTATTTAATTTTATAATACTTAGACAGTTATAAAACCTAAATGAATTGCTTACCTTTATTGATTCAGAAATAGGGTTACATAAGCTGTCGAAGAGGAAACAAAAATCGTTCTGGAAGATGCTGTTTTTAATCTCGTATTGTATCAACTATCGGCAAGAATCAGAAAAAGTATCGGGTATATCTTACAATCACAATACTTTCAGCCAAAATATAGGCCCTGTTTTACTTGAGTATATGCTGTACTCAATTGAAGTACTGAATTGTGGGTCTTATGGGCCCGAACGTTACGCCACTGGTATTCACAAATTTCTATATAACAGATGTTCGAAGAGCTTCGCGAGGATGAGGACATTTTTACGGACTCTTACAAATTGTTCTCCGCACTTCTGTACACTTCTTCTTTTATAGCATCTTGGAAAGAAGCCTTTCTTGACTGAACTCATAAAAACATCTCAGGAACTCAATTGGGATAGAGAGACTTATTTCTTTGGGGAATACTGGATTTCAAAAGGAACTGCAATTAATGAAGAAACAGGCATTATATGAAGACATCTCATAGACAAGTTTGGAGCCTTGGAAGGATTGAATTTTTTTCAAGAAATATGTTTAATTATTAGTTATAGTTATAAGTTTAATATTTCAGTTATTAAGATAAGCAGGTGTAAATGTATTTTTTCCCTTTATTTTTTCTACCGACTCTTAGCCTAAATCAGGCGAGTATCCACGGGGAGGAAAATGAAGGAAAACCCCTCCCCCTAAAACTTTTCAGTAACTATTATTTTTAACTTTCATGAAACTTTCAAGCAAAAATATTTTGCGGATAATCATTAAAACGAATAAAATCGTATTGCAGCATGAGCAGGGGCGGAACAAACCAATCATTTGGGGGGGGTCACAGATTTTTTAATTAAATAATACATTTGTTATTATATTGTATACTAGCGGAACTCTCGCTCTCTCTCGCGCTCTCTCGCTCCCCCCCCTCTCTCTCTCTCTCTCTCCGGGTTCAAATCTTGGTCGGTGCGCCCAAATCTTCAAACAAATTTAATTATTGAAAAGCATTCTTACCATGTAACATGGTCACAGTTTGGATTTCTTTACGATTGCGAAACGTATTCTCGGAGCGTCCAATAAGGTGATGGGAAAGGTGACAATTAAATTGTCCCTTTAGTACACTTAACTTTTAATAACTTAATAAAT